GTAAGATATTTTTATTTTACACGGGAGTTAAAAGGAAGATTTTTTTGACTCCGGTGTAAAATTAAGAAAGCTTATTTTTCATATCAACAATTTATTGAGTTAGGAATATTGAGTTATATTTCTTAATGAAGTTAAAGATACTCCCTCTTCATAATTTATTAAGGGATTAATATTATACCGAGTTATTATAAAATTAGGGTTAATTGATTATTTCAGTGGAATCAACTTAGCCATCTCGGTATTTCCTATCTTGGCGATCCTCGCCTCTTCCAATATAAACATCGCTTAGGTTTCTGGTTTCAGTGGTCTCGGTTTAATGAATTGACTTTGCGGATGGACTTTGCTTTTGGTCTATATTATTAAAGCGATTTATTAATCTCATGTAACAAGGGAGAAGCTCTCTTATATTATAAAGATCATGTATGAGACCCACCCACTTATAAAAAAGAAAAAGAAAATGACACGAAAATCAATGTATGTATAGGAGAGAAAAATACTTTTCTACAACATAACATAAGAATATATTTTAGCATTATTAAATGATTTTTTCGTAATGCATTATCTCAGGAATGATGCCCATTCCGTGTTATGGTGTCTAAATTGAAATAATTATTAACCATATCTGGATATATTTTTTGTTTCAATTTCAGAGAGCTATGTTTTAGCTCTTTGACGTCTACGTGCCAGTGAACGTAAGAGGAAATTTTGATTTCTTACAATGATATTTTATATGACGTAAAAAAAAGGCAAGCTATAGTCAGGCGTTAAGGAAAAAAAAATTAAATCAATCAAGCATACACATGTCTCCTTATAGATTGTGGGTTTGTACTCCATATCTTTTCTAGTAATTAATAAATATTATTACAGTGGTGAATGTAATGAAATTAATCATTGACCCAAAAGAATAGGGAATAGTGGAATATTTATTTGCAAATAACGAAGTAAGGAAACCACATGAGGCAGTATGTAATCTTAAGTAATCTTTCTTTTTGGCTTAGGCCTTTTGTTTTTTTGTTTTTGTTTTTTGTTTTGTTTTTAAAGTAATCTTTCTTCTCTCGCATACCTGCACACAGCCTGGTGCATGATATTGTAGGTGTTTAGGAATATAATTAGAGGGAGAATTAACAAAAGCAATTCAAAGGAGGCGCAAACACATAGAGGGGAAAACAGACAAAGAGGGGGAGGGGAGGTTATCTTTGAAAAAATATTGACAACAAAATCAGAAAAGTATGTGACGGGAACCATGGTAGTTAAAATCTTGATTTATCATTATGATTTTATGTTTTTATGATTTTTTCTTCATCAAAACGATTTTATCAATATTTCTAATGATTTTTCGAATTTTTTTATGTTATGATTTTACGTTTTATGATTTTTTATTCCTCTTCCGATTTTATGTAAAATCTCGATTTTAACTACATTGATAGAAACTAACTGATTAATATCTAATATCTATTAAATTTATAGAAAACTTAAATTATGGAAAAGTTTGTTGGAGTCTAAAGAATTTAAGCTAAGTTGGAGCATGACTAAATATCATAAGATGCTTTAGCAAGATGTGAATTTGCTTTAACAAGATGCTTTCAAATATTTGAGATCAACTTTTTTTTTTTTATTATGATAACATAAGAGGCAAAGCCCCAAAGAAAACAAACAAAGAACCAAACAAAGCAAGAACATAAGGAAAACAACAAATAGAAAAAAAGACCCTGCACAGCACAAGGGTACTGGAGACAGCGCCTTCAGAAAACAGCAAATGCCTCCAAGCCTGGGTCTAGCAGGTCAGCAACAAGCATGTTGATGAGCTCACTATGAGGGGAGGAGATTATAATGAGACCAGGGGGTCATCCATTGCTTTTTTTGCAATCCAATCAGCACAACTGTTACACTTCCTCGGAATATGCTTCAACAACACACTCCAATCTTTATTAAGCAAAACTCGAATCTTAGCTACCAAAGGGAGCTTTCGAGTATCGTTACCAACATTGGTAAGAAGGCTAATAGCTTATCATGAATCTGATTCCAACATAATGTTCTTCCAACTATAGTTCCAGACAAAGACTAATCCTTTAGGTGGTGTTTGGTTGGGAGCTTTTTAGCGGATATCTATCTTTCTCAAGTATGGCTTTTAGAAATACCATGTTTGTTTCAACGTTTTTCACCAAAAATCCATATATCCAATTTGTCTGGATTTATGAGAAACATAGATATCCGCACTGTTTAGAAACTCAATTTGAAGGTGGGATTTTTCGGAAAACTGGTTATCTAGCTTTTAATGCACTGTTGATTTCATAAAGTTACCTAATTTTCCCAGTAAAATTTTTCCCCACCAAACAACTTTTTTTTACATTTTTCTATCTATCTCACTTTATCTATCATTCCAATCATTTCTCTATCTATCTCATTTCCCTACTATTCCAAAAAAAAATTCTGAACCAAACGCCCCCTTAAGAATAGCCCAAAGCTCTGATTGCAAGGGGGAGCAGGAACCTAGGAAAGCAGAAAAATCACTAATCCAAGAACCCTTCCAATCTCTCAATAATCCACCACAAGCAGCTCCACTGCCAAGAGCAGCACCATCAACATTTAGCTTTAGAAACCCTTGTGTAGGCGTAGTCCAAACAGAGTGGAGAAGAGTAGGAGGCATACCAGTGAAAGCATGAATTCTTTTTGTAATACAGTACCTATTTTCCTCTATTAGTTCAGCAAGAATAAGTGAAGGGTTATTCGGTCTCTTAAAATTCTCTTCATGAAGCTCTATATTTCTCCATATCCACAAGGAATTGCAGGTAGTAAAAAAATAATCCTTCCAGTCCCTCACTTTTTTGTTACTTAGGTTCAAGTTAAGGGTCATCCATTCATTAAAAGAGCAAGAGCTAAAGAAGTCAGGTGGTAGATGTTGGAATATAGGAAGAGACCAAAACTTAGAAGCTTTCTGACAGTCTCTGAATGCGTGAAGACAGGTCTCCACCTTATCTGGGCACGAAGGACAGCTATTCAAAGATCCACTCCACTTAGCTATATTCTTCTTTGTTGGCATTCTTTCATGAAGCAATTTCAACATGAGGAACTTCACCATTTCTTTACCTTTCTAGCTCCAGATTCGGTCTTGGCAACTACTGGGAGCTGTTGAATTAGCAATCATCCAGTTACTACACACAATTTTAACTATTGACTGGCCTGGTTTCCAGTTTTTCCACATCAAAAAATCCTCTCCTTCTTCATCTTCAGGATGAGGTATTTCCAGAATGCGATTCACCAGACTAAGGTCAAAATGATGCAATAGATACTGAACATTCCAGCCCTCCCCAGCAACAAAGATACTATGATTAATCTTCAGATCTATTTCTTCAGTTTTTGGGGAAGCTATTGAAAGAGATAGAAGGTTGGAGCTAAGACCAGTCCAATTATCCTTCCAGAATGTTATTTTCCTCCCATTTCCAATATGCCAAATGAAGTTACTTAACATGGCAGGCCATATCCTGCATAAACTCTTCCATAAGTGTGAGTCATATGGTTTGCAAATGGCTTCCTTCGAAAAGTCTTTGTTCCTATCATACTTAGAAATTAGAACCTTTTCCCAGAGATGAGATGGAGACTGTATGATGGACCAAGCACACTTTTGGAGAAAAGCTTCATTTTGTTTCTTGAGATTGATAATTCCCAATCCACCCTGGTTCTTAGGAAGCTTGAGCTGGTCCTAGTTAACAACATGAATTCTTTTATGAGTTTCTGAGTCTCCCTAAATGAAGCTCCTTTGAAGTTTTTCAATGTTATCACAAATACCTTTAGGGAGAAGGCTGTTCTGCATATGGAACATGGGCATGGCTGATAAGACAGATTTAGCCAGAGTGACTTTCCCAGCCATTGATAAACACTGCTTTTTCCAGACTTGTAGTCGATTATTGACCCCGTCCATAATATCTCCTTAGTGTAGCTTGCTGATTCTGCCATGCCTCATCCTATAACCTAGATATCTGCCAATATTTTGTGTGTGTGCAAAACCACTAATCTCTACAATAGAGTTAGCAACCTCAATAGGAACATTCTTAGAGAAGAATATATTGGATTTGGAGTAACTAACCTTTTGACCAGACATGTTACCAAATGTATCAAGGCAGCTCATAATAATCCTTATCTGATCCGTCCTAGTTTTCCCAAATAGTAACAAATCATCCGCAAAAGGGAGATGAAAATTTTTGGGTCCACCCTTACCAGTTGTCATTGGCTTCCATTCATTTCCATCAATAGAGTCAGCTATGATATGAGAGAGCTTCTCCATACAAAGGACAAAGATATAGGGAGAAATGGGACCCCCTTGTCTCAGGCCTCTGCTAAGATTGACTCTACCAGCCTTAGTGCCATTCCAGAGAATCTCTAGCTCAGTTGAGGAGATGCACTGCATAATTAGATTGACCAGAGACTCAGGGAGATTGATCTCAGATAGAACTTTATGAATAAAACTCAATGACATTCGATCATAGGCTTTTTTGAGATCTATCTTAATTGTGAAAAACCCTCTCTTTCCTTTCATCCTATTCATGGAATGAACCATCTCTTGAGCAATAACAATATTGTCCCGAATTTGTCTGTTAGGGACAAACCTGACTTGTTGAGAGAGATGAGTTTATTCAGGATGGGTTTGAGCTTCCCCACAATAATCTTGCTTATACCTTTGTAGAGCACTGAGCACAGAGCAATGGGACGAAACTGAGTAATCTTATCAGGCTTAGCCAGCTTTGGAATTAAAACTAGGAAAGTTTTATTTAAGTCCCTCACTGCAGCTGGATTGCACCAAATCTGTCTTTCATAATCAATCACTTGATTCTTCAATAAATCCCAGTTTTTTTGGAAAATATAGGTGGGAATCCATCAGGACTAGGAGCCTTGAGACCATTTATAGAGAAATAAGCCTCATTTATCCTAATGTCCGTAATGGGTTCAAGCAGGATATTCAACTCAGGATCATCAAGAGCAGGCCAAGTGGACGTGGTAACAGCCTAGGGTCTGTTGTAGTCTTCCTCTAAGAATAAGTTGTTAAAGAAAGAGTGAATAAGCTCAATCAGATTGTCTTCTTCTCTCACTAGATGACCATCATCATTCCTTAACTCAAGAATTTTTTTCCTAGCTCTCCTGATAATAGTGGTGGTGTGGTAGAATCTTGTATTACGGTCTCCATCTGCTATACGTTTACATCTCGCCTTTTGAAACCAAAAAGCTTCTTCTTGCTCCAACACTCGGTTGAGCTCATCCTGGAGAGCCTTGTCCAGGTCAGATGGAGATTGATCCAATTGACAAGAGATGTTCAATTGAGTCTCTTGAAGCTTCTTGAGGAGATACTCTTTTCTAAATTGGATACACCCAAATACTCTTTTATTCCAAGACTTTAGAGGTTCAATCAGCTCCATCAGGCTAAGGTTTATCTTGCGGTAAGAGTTCCAAATAAACTTGAGAAGGAGGGAGAAGGTTATGTGATCTTGCCGGGACACCAGAAATCTAAAAGGCCTCTCTTTCCAGGAAGACTCTTTGGGAAACAAAGTTAGGAGAAGAGGATTATGATATGAGTTTAGGCGAGGCAGGGATTTAACAACAGCTTCTCCAAAAGCTGTTCTCCACTGTGCATTAGCACAAATGCGATCAAGCCTCTTATAGACCCTATCAAGATGAAGCCACTTGGGACCCTTCCAGGTGAAATCAGAACCTCTACAACCCAGGTCCATTGTGTTGCAATCATTTAGAAGTTTTGAGAATTTCTGGCATTTAATAACATTGACAGGGGAACCCCCTATTCTCTCTTTCACATATGCTATTTCATTAAAATCTCCCATCATGACCCAAGGCCCCACCACATTATCACTTATTCTCTTGAGATCTGTCCAGACAGCCTCACAAATTTCCTCCCTGGGATTTGCACAGACTACAGTAAGCAAAAACGAACTCCCTGAATTGATAGAGCAGGACATATGAATGAATTGGCTAGCTTTTTCAATGATGGAAACTTTGCAGGATTCTTCCTTCCACAAGATCCAGATATGCCCTGAGAAGCCAACTGCATCTTCAATATCAAACTGTTTGAAGCCAAGCTGCTTTATTTTCTTTTATGCAATTGCACCACTAATCCTTGGTTCCAAAATGGAAACCAAGCTAATCTTATATTTCTTGATGAAATTACTAAGGGATGAATTGAAAGGTTTCTTGGCAGCACCCCTACAATTCCATACTAGGCAGTTCATTGGATAACTATATCTGATCCAAGATTACAGAAAACCTGGTCACTCTCTAGCATATGATCCGAAGCATCGTTACAAAAATTATTCTCCATGTCCATACCTTCAAGAATTGATCAGTCAGGAGGTTCAACACCTTTAAGTTTCTCTTCACTGCTGGACTTACCAATTTCCATGTCTGAGGTCTCTTCTTCCACTACACATAAATCACACTTAGAGGATGGAACAGAATTTCCACTGGTCTTGGTTGTGGAGATTTTAGAACAAAGTTCCTTTTCCACCTCATTAGAAGAGGTCTCATTACCAGAGCAACAAACCAGTTCAGTTGGGAGAATAGGGTCCTGTTTCTGCTCTACCTGTCTGATGATTGTACTAGACGAAGGGAGCTCTGTTGAAGTAGAGCTTTTTCCTGCTAGCGAGGATTCAGAGGAAAAAACAAACACTTTTTTCTTCTCTTGCAACTTAGGTTTGCAAATGAGCTTACCAGGAGATTTTTTTGTACCCGAAACAGAATTTTTAACAGCTACTGGATGATTAGGCTATGAGGGAATTCCTTCTTTGTTCTCTTTATGCTCCCCTGACCCCTGTCCTACATGGCTTTTGAATGGCTGACTTTTTGAAGTAGCTGGACCCATATTATTCACTGTAGCTTTATTTTGCTGACTGATATTCTTCTTATTGGAGATATCATCTCCAAATGTTCTCCCCTCTAATCCTTTATACTTCTTTGGAGGTTGATACTTTATAAATTTTTTCTTCTGCACCACCATCCAGGGGCGCACTCCTTGACTACATGAAGGCTTGGCTACTTCTGGCAAGGATTCCTGCTTATTATTAACCTCAACCGATTTCATCATTTCTGGACATTTTTCTGTATTATGGTCGTATTTGCCACATTGGAGGCAAATCAAATACAGTCCTTCATATTCCACCTTGAAGACTTCTTCCTCCAGGATATATTCTCCCCTCAAAGGCTTGGATAAGTCAAGTTCAACACAAATCCTAGCAAACTTTCCTCTATCACCCGTTGAGGTAGTTTTATCTACCTTTAAAACTTTTCCTACAGTATTTCCTATCAGTTTCAAAACATATAGCACACAAAATTCTTGAGGAATACTTGGTAGTCGAATCCACGCAGCAACTTTATGGATGTTTGCTTTGTGAGGGTTGAAAAATGGCTACCATTTCCTTATAGCCAGGTAGTGACCCATTAAGACCCATGGGCCTCCTGTTAAAGCCAGATTCAGGTCCTCCATACTCGAGAACTTGACTGAGAAAAAATCGTTCCCCAGGTTTACTACCACAATGGATCCTAGCTTCGACCATAAACTTTCAAGCTTTATCTTCATATACATGACACCCACTTTCTTTCCCAAGAGCTTCACGATGATTGCATTCCTCCAGGGGATTCTCAACCTCTACTTGGCTTCCTTTGTGCACCGAATTCTGACAGAGCCATCTTCTCCAAAGATAGTCTGAAACCCCAAGTCATTTATGACTCCTAGCTTGGGATCAAGAGGCTCACTCGGTTCCTACATGAGGTCTTCTTGCCAAGAATCATTTTCTCCCATCGAGTTACCTTCCGATTTGAGGGCTTCCGCGAACAACTTAGGTTTCCCAGAAGGTATTCGCTCCAGGATATTTCCCAGACTAGCTCCTCTATTTCACAAATCTGGGGAGAATTCCTCCCTATTTTTGAATCTCTTGATGGTTTTCCTCATGATTTCCTGTGAATCAGTTGCTGCTTTTATTGTTTCTCGGTGAACTTCATTTGATGAACTCATCTCTTTTGCCCTAACAGAGAGAAAGATTATCGGTCGTGTGTATCCCACGCATCTAACCCATGAGATCAACTTTACAAAAGGGTGTAGAAATTGTTGATGTAAATCGTAGAATTGAAATGGATGAAATGATGTATTGCATTATATGTGGGGGAATAACAATTAACCTTCGATTTTTTAAGGAAAAAATGTCGACAACTGGTTTATCACCCTCAGCTCCGTCAACAGGAGACAGTGATGTAGATCTGGACTATTTGGAGGTAGTTATGTGCTATGAAAATTTTATCACCCACTAACCTTTGAAATTTTCTTTTAGGCTTCTTCTTAGCTTACAAATGTTGTTATACAAATTGATGGGGCATCTAAGCCCAACCCCAAAGTCTTACAAGTATAGTCAGGTTTGTTAATGAATTGTGAATTTGATTTCAGATATAATGTGCATCTAAACCTATACTTGTTGCAATTTTTTATTGGCTGGATTATCTAATTAGTTTTATTTCAATTCTTGGCACATTTTCAAGTATTGCAGCGGGCAACCAGTGGTGGAGTCAGGAGAGGCGATCACGTCCCTTCATCCTTAATTTTCCTCATGTATGAAAAAATCTTGTAGATTTTTTCAAATATGATTTGTTATCCATTCATTACTGTGTTGCCATACCTAATTTAGTGTAAATTTTGAATTCTTCGTTGTTAGAGAATAATATAAATCATTAAAAAAGCCCTTATAAAAAACGTTAAGGTTTTGGATTGAATTAGTTCTTTACATATGGTATCAAAGCTTTTTTGACCATAAAGTCACGAGTTCGATTCTCACTACGTCCCCTTTTTAGTGGAATTAAATAAACATAAGATAAACCAAAAATTTGACTTATGCAATATCCATGGTTCAAGCCCAAAGGGCTCTTGCAAAAAAGGGTGTGTTAGAGAATAATATAAACAATTAAAAAGACCCTCACCTAACAGGTTAAGGTTTTGGATTGAATTGCTTCTTTGCAGTCTCTCTTCTCATAATTTTTTTAATTTAGAGACAACCATGGCAGCTAGCTCATGAGTTGGGGCAATATTTTGGTTTAACAAAGGAAACACATCCTATCTATTTCTACGCAAACATGTTTACATATTCTTTTCAAGAAATTGTAGATGCATATGGGTGAGTTACTTTGAAATCAGCATGTTCATCTTAAAATTCATTTTTATTTTTCCTCTAAAGTTGGTCATTTTGATCAAACCTACTCTCTTAACCAGAGGCGGATCTAGGTTCAGGAGAAGGGGGGCAAGTGCCCACCCTTGAAATATGATGCAAAAATACCGTTCTCTTAAAATTCAAGTTTTTCTAATTTAATTTTGGGTAGAATATTGTAACAACTAATCAGGGTTACTACCAATCAATTTCACTGCTAGATCGATTATGTTGATCCAACAGTTATATTTATTTTCATCTTTGTATGGTTATGATTCCCCATATTTAATACTTTATATTTATTTTCACCTTTGTATGGTTATGATTTTCCATATTTAATGATTTCACATTAAATATGGGCATTAGCGGACCTACATTGATGCAAGTGTGTGCAAGTGCACACACTAACTTTTCAAGAAAAAGTAAAGGAGTTAGTAAGAACAAATACTCGATGGTCATTCCATTGTATCACCTTTTCTCCGGCTGCCTCAATTCTTACATATTCATCATCTCGGTTTGGCTAAATATCACTTCCATAAATCACCAGTTAAAAATTTAACATTCTAAAGAAGATACAAAACTATAATTAGAAATCTGGAAGGACGAATAAAAATCAGACAACTATTAAGGAGAGAGAAGAGAAGAGAAATAAAAATAATTTTTTGTCCAAGTGGCACTCCTTAAATAGAAGGACCACATTGGGCCTTGAGCACCCAAAAAAAATCCCCACTAAAAGTAGCTTACTTTATTGTTATTAAAAAAAAGTTACAATATGCAAAACTATTCATAGTATCTTTAACAAAAAAATTTGGGGACGCTGCCCTTGAATCCCACCACTAATTATGCAGACATAAATAGAATTTTTTGGGTCCGCCACTGAATATGGGGATCATAACCATACAAAGATAGAAATAAATATAACCGTTGGATCAACATAATCGATCTAACAGTGAAATTGAATGGTAGTAACCCTAGTTGGTTATTACGATATCTTACCCCTTTAATTTTCCTCCTTCTATTTTGTTTTTGTTTTTTTTATCCTCCATCTTCATTATCCAAACCTAACAGCAGAAAGCTCTATTCCAGACCCATGGATTGCATCTGAACACTGATTCATCTCCTCTCAAACCTCAATCTTTGTTATTGGAAGTTGGAACATTTGCTTCTTCGTCCATCATGGGTCTAGTTGAGTCGCAATCCGTCCAGATCTAGATCTCAACTAGACCCAGCCAGCCGACAGTTGATCGCAAGTCGCGTTTCAGACCAAATCTAAATCTATTTGTACTTGAACTTATTGATTGCCCACCCTTCATTAATTTCTTGGATCCGCCACTGCGCTTAACCATTATCATGCGGCAGTGACATCCAGAAAATTTTATTGATGTCTACTCACTTAGGGGTAGGGCTTGGGGAATTTTTTTTAAAGAAAGTTTTAAATGTATTAAAATTCCTTTTGGGTGCTCAACAAAAATTACAGGATCCTATTTAATCTCTTTAAAAAAAAAAGTCGACTCGTAGTCTCTATGAATTCCAAAATAAACCCATATCGTTCTATTTTAAAATTCAGAGAGACCACGATTTCGACTAATTGTGTTTATTTTGGAATTCATAGGAGTCGACTTTTTTTTTCTTCTAAAGGATTAAATTGGACTCCATGATTTTTGTTGAGGACCCAAAATATACTCTACCTCCCCCCCCCCCCAAAAAAAATTTGTGTCTACACTTATAGACAGTTGCACAAATACAGGTTTGCCAATGATCATGCCCGAATATTTAATCTGATGTGATATGCATGTATATATGTAGGAGGATGAAGGGGTAGTAGGATAAAGAACGAATCGGGAGGATTGGGAAGAGAGGGAGATAAGAAAATTGTCAAACAACTCTATATCTTTATTGAGGTTTGATTTGCAATATTTAAAGAAAGTGCACATCCTAATCTAGAATTCAAATAACGAAAGTTGTTGAAACAACCAATCCTAAAATTACGAAGGGAAATAACAAATCCTAAAAATAGGGATAGAAATAACTAATCTCCTAATTACAGTTAAGCTGCATGTTTATTGGAATTTAAACCAGAACAATTTGCAATGCTGGGCTTGGATCATGTGAGGTAGTCATCCAAGTGTTTTGGGCTGATCCGCGTGCGTTTGGGTTGTGTCCTGGTGGGCTGGGTCACAACATCACCTTCCCCTTTTGAATTATCCATGTCCGCATGGATGGGAATTGCATTGGATTGTCGTCCACTAGGAGCGTGCCGCGTGGGGAAGCCAAGCTTATCTTCTGCCCGTTGGGCTGCGTCTCCAGGTGTAGTAACATGATGACCTTGCTTTGTCATAATTGCCGTGGTTGCTGTGTCCGAGGCGTGCGTTAAAGGTTTGGACGAAGAAGACTCATCGTCATTTTGCCTTGTTTCTCAGCCGTTCTCTGTCTCGTCTTTTCGTCTTCGTCGCTATCTTGTGCCATTTCTTCTTCCCACGACGAATCTTCTGGTGCACCGTCGGTCCACTGGACTAGGACCTCCTTAACTAGCTTTCCCTTTTTCCAAACCTTTCTTTCGCCGAGTATAGCTACCGCACGGTGAAGTGGTTTGTTATCCTTCGTGTGTGGTGGAAGTGGGTGGACTTTGAACGAGGTTGGCGAAGCAAACGGTCGGAGTAGGGAAACGTGAAACACCGGGTGTATCCTTGAAGACTCTGGTAATTGAAGTTTGTAGGCTACGGAACCGATTCGCTGTAGCACCTCAAATGGACCATAGTACCGGAGTGCGAGCTTCTGAGAGGTTCGTTTCTGTACGGTGAGCTGTCGGTAAGGTTGTGGTTTAAGTAGAACTAGATCTCCTTCCTTGAACTCCCATTGCTTTCGTTTTTTGTCGCTGTAAGCCTTCATTGCTATTTGAGCCTGATTTAGATTTTGCTTCAAGTTTTCCATTATTTTGTTTCTGTGTGACAGATCTGTGTCTATGGCTTCTAAGGTGCTTGATCCGAGACAGTACGTTAACAAGTTCAGAGGGGGAACACCAAATGTGACTTCGAATGGTGTATAACCCGTCGATCTGTTGAAGGAGGTGTTGAAATGAAACTCGGCAAAGCTCAAGATTCGTGACCAGTGGTTCGGGTTCTCGTGTACGAAGGCTCTAAGGTACTGCTCTAGACACCTGTTTACGCGTTCAGTTTGACCGTCGGTTTGCGGGTGATATGCTGAACTGTAACGCGGGTTTGTGCCTTGAAGTTCAAACAGTGCTCGCCAAAAGTTGCTGAGAAAGACCGGGTCCCGATCCGAGATGATGGTTTTTGGAAACCCATGGAGCTTCCCGGTAGATTCCCAGAATGCTTTTGCAACCCGTACTGCTGTGAAGTTGGCTGGTAAGGGTACAAAGTGTCCTTCATTCGATAACCTGTCCACAGTAACAAAAATGACACTAAAACCATTAGAGTTAGGCAAATGGGTGATAAAGTCCATGCTGAGGTCGGTCCAGATAGTGTTGGGTGGTGTTATGGGTTGCAGTAGCCCGTATTGGGAATGGTTTTG